AAAACCTTGGGCCCTTAACAACCACACTTGTTTAACACTTGGACCATTAAAACTCACACTTTTTTAACCTTGGACCATTAAAAAACTCACACTTGTTAAAAACTTTGGGCATTAAAAAACTCACACTTGTTAACCCCCTTTGGACCATTAACAACTCACACTTTTTAACCTTGAACATTAAAAACTCACACTTTTTAACTTTGGGCCATTTAAAAAACTCACACTTGTTACACTTGGCCATTAAAACTCACACTTAAAATTGGACCATTTTAAATCACACTTGTTAAAAACTTGGCCCTTAACAACTCACACTTGTTAAACTTGGACCCTTAACAATCACATTGTTTCACTTTGGGCATTAACAACTCCACTTGTTAAAAGCTTGGACCATTAACAGCTCACACTTGTTAAAAAAATTGGGACCCTTAAAACTCACATTTGGAAAACTTGGACCATTTTAAAAATCACACTTTTTAAAACTTGGACCATTTAACAACTCACACTTGTTAAAAAACTTGGACCATTAAAAACCCACTTGTTAACAATTTTTAACAACTCATTTTAACCTTGGACCCTTAACACTCAGACTTTTAACACTTTGGGACCATTAAAAACTTACATTGTTAACACTTGGCCATTAAAAACTCACACTTGTTAAAACCCTTTGGACATTAACAACCACCTTTTAACATTGGCCATTAACACTCACACTTGTTAAAACTTGGCCCCTTAACAACTAAAATTGTTAACCTTGGCCATTTAAAAACTCACATTGTTAACCCCTTGGACCCTTTAAAAACTCACCTTGTTAAAACTTTGGGCCTTAACAACTCAACATTTTTTTTAAACTTGGGAAATTTAAAACTCCACTTGTTAACACTTGGGCCATTAACAATCACACTTGTTAACACTTGAACCTTAACAACTCACACTTTTTTAAAATTTGGACCTTAAAAACTCACCTTTTTCACTTTGGGCCCTTAAACTCACACTTAACTTGGACCATTAACAACTCCACTTGTTAACCTTTGGGCCCTTAACAACTCAACTTGTTAACACTTGGGGTCATTAAAAACTCAAACTTAACCTTGGACCTTAACAACTCCCCCTTTTTAACACTTGGACCATTAACAACTCAAACTTAACACTTGGACCATTAACAACTCACACTTGTTAACACTTGGACCATTAACAACTCACACTTGTTAACACTTGGACCATTAACAACTCACACTTGTTAACACTTGGACATTAACAACTCACACTTGTTAACACTTGGACCATTAACAACTCACACTTGTTAACACTTGGATCATTAACAACTCACACTTAACACTTGGACCATTAACAACTCACACTTGTTAACACTTGGACCATTAACAACTCACACTTGTTAACACTTGGATCATTAACAACTCAAACTTAACACTTGGACCATTAACAACTCACACTTGTTAACACTTGGATCATTAACAACTCAAACTTAACACTTGGACCATTAACAACTCACACTTGTTAACACTTGGACCATTAACAACTCACACTTGTTAACACTTGGACCATTAACAACTCACACTTGTTAACACTTGGATCATTAACAACTCACACTTGTTAACACTTGGACCATTAACAACTCACACTTGTTAACACTTGGACCATTAACAACTCACACTTGTTAACACTTGGACCATTAACAACTCACACTTGTTAACACTTGGATCATTAACAACTCACACTTGTTAACACTTGGACCATTAACAGCTCACACTTGTTAACACTTGGATCATTAACAACTCACACTTGTTAACGGTCCAAGTGGGACCGAAACATCGTCATAAGTTTCAGTCTCCTGTGTGCACATTATAAGTGTAATTGATTTAGATGTATACATCACACACACACACTACTATATATATATATATATAATATATATATATATATATATATAATATATTATATATATAATATATATATATATATATATATATATATATATTGCATACAGCAAAGGACAATGTATATACACTCAGTGGTCACCTCATTAGGTTCACCTGTACACATGCTCGGTAATGCAAATATTTAATGAGCCAGTCACTGGCAGCACATCAATGCTTAAAAGCGTGCAGACATGGTCAAAAAGTTCAGTTTTTGTACAGGCATTTAGATCAGAATGGGGAGGAAATGTGACCGTGGAATGATTATTGGTGCCAGACGAGGAGGTTTGATCTCCTAGGATTTTCACACACAGAAATCTCTATGGAGTTTAGAAAGAATGGTGTGAAAAACATGAAACATACAGTAAGCAGCAGTTCTGTGGGCAAAAGCACCTTGATAATGAGAAGTTGAGAGGAGAATATCCACACTGATTCAAACTGACAGGAAGGTGACGGTAACTAAAATAACCACACATTACAACAGTGGAATGGAGAAGAGCATCTCTGAATGCACAAAATGTCGAACTGTGAAGCGGATGGGCTGCAGCAGCAGAAGACCACACCGCATTCTGCTTCCGTTGGCTAAGAACAGGAAATTGAGCCTCCAGTGGGCATTGGCTCACCAAAACTGGACAGTTGATGACTGGAAAAATGTTGCCTCGTCTGATGTATCACGATTTCTGCTGCGACATGCAGATGGTTGGGTCAGAATTTGGTGTAAACCATGGGAGATTTACATCATTAATGTGCAGCCGATAAATTGGCAGCAATTGCATGATGCTGTCATGTCAACATGAACCAGATATCTAAGGAATATTTCCAGCTATTTGTTGAATCCATCCCACGAAGAATTTAGGCTGTTCTGGGAGCAAAGGGGTATCTTACCCAGTACTTAAAGTGGCCACTGAGTGTATGTAGCATACACACACACACACACACACACACACACACACACACACACACACACACACACACACACACACACACACACACACACACACACACACACACAAAACACACACACAAAACACACACACAAAACACACACACACAACACACACACAACACACACACAACACACACACAACACACACACAACACACACACAACACACACACACACGAATTTTTATCTGTCATTTCATATAGATTATTTGGTCAAGTAATTTTTTATAAACATTATTTACATTGTATTGAGAAGCAAATACAAAAGACATTAAAATCCTTACCTAGCTAGTCCCTGGCGGTATTGTGCATGTGTCCCCGAGACACTTCACTTATGGGTTATAAGGTCAGCTGACTAAGGTGGTGTGGTGGCATGTATATTTAGCATGAAAGATCTCTTTAAAAGACATTTGGGTAACCATTATATAAGGTCAGGTATGATCAAGGTCACATGGGTCAGCATGTCATGACCATTCAGAGCATTCGTATCCTTGCCTCTGCCTCGTGTAAAGCTGCGTGTCGCTACTCAGGCGGTGACCAAATTAGTTCTCCAGGAGTTTTTAGTCTTTGCTTCATTTTTAGGTCACACTTCGTCCAGGTACTTTGTGTTGACCTCTAATGACTAATGGTTATGACTCCCAGGAGGTACTGAGCACAACCCTCTTACCTGTCCCACTGCTCACTGTAGCTTCCCTTCACATGATATGCCTTCTTTGCTTGTTTTGGATGTGCCATATAGACTTACAAGTGGCATGGCATGCACATTAAATTATCTCAAAGTAGGAATGACAAATTATTTTGGCAGTCAATGAAAATGGAAGTTCACAGCAGTGCAGTGTTATAGCACGAGAAATCTCTTTTTATCTTGAAGGGGTCAGTAAATCAGTTGATAATTGATACCTTCAATATGGATTGTGAGAGGTGTCCCATGCTTGGTGCAGGAGTCAACTCTGACCAACACTTCCCATCATAGCACACACTTGGTGTTTGGCTTTATATATTGCACATTTCACAAGTGAAGTGTCTTGTCTGGATACTTACACTCTCTGTTCATGGGTACATTGATGGGACTGTGTTTGTCATAAGTTGTGACAATGATCTTTCTTTCACATCTGAAAACAACTGGAATCTGCAGTTTTTTTTTCTTTTGTTCCTTAAAACTATTGGATGACTAAAGTTATGATGTATATCTAAGTATTACTCCTTGGATCACATCTCTCTTATTCTTGATCTTCCATATCCCCATGTTCACTCTTGAAGTAAAATATATAGCATTTGTTGGCCTCAACACCTTTCCAGTTCTGGGATGATGGCACCACCTGTTTTGGATCAAGTGGAGAATGCAGCAGGAAGAGTCATCTGTCACACATTATGAAACTGTATTGATGTGAGGTTTCACTGCCTCACACTCCATTTGCAATGATCACTTAAGTCACTTTTTTTTAATAAATTATCTTCATTTTATACCTCTATATGCACCAAAATTTCATTCCTTTGCACAGACAAAAAAAGACCATCAGGTCTTTTTCTTGAGCTAGAGTCTTGGGGAGTCTTTTTTTATTATTTCTTCTGTTTTTTAGTAGAACTTAAAGCTGATTTAATTTTTAAATTTAATTTTTGAGTTAATTAAGAACAATGTAGTTATCATGATAATAATATAACTATTATTATTTATAAAATAGTTCCAGTGTTTGTATGATGTGATAGAATTCCATTGTTGAGAATAATTGAGCTATACAGTATATGACAATGGCAACATGCAGTTACTTTGGTGAGCACAGTTCAGTAAGAGACTGCTTAATGTATACTATATGTACAAATGCTCACAGCCCATTTTGTAGAGTAATACATTTAGCCTTTTTTTTTTTTTGTTTTAATTTTAATATTGTAGAAAGGACTGTACATATTGCTAAATCCCCCTTTTTTTTTTTATGTTATTAAAGATTCTCATTATTATAGTAATAATTATGTTTTATCCAAAAGAACCATTTAAATTTTAGAAATTATAATGTCAAGTACAGTACACTATTGTTATAAGATGCAATTATCGAACTATTTATTCATGTATAAATATTAACTTCGCATTTTTTCTTCCAACCCACCTCTTTGGCTACCCAAACAGCAGTCCAATCAGAACGAAAACCAAATAGTTACTTAGGTTCAGGAGATCGACAAGACAAGGAAGGAAGTCCGCCTTTATCACTAAATCCTTTAGTGGGATTTGAGTCTCACTCTCCAACAATGACTTCTAGCAAGACTCCTGTTGTGGGAAAGGATATTCCCTCACAACCTCCAACCAGCTTGGCTGAGCTTCATCTTCAGATGGCTAAGGCCTTTGAGGGAGCTTTTAATATGGAAGCCAAAGAGACAGGTACTGTGAGAAAGCTCTAAATAGATTACATATTTGGATATTTGTTATGATTTAAGCAAGTTGTACAATAATTAGAAATTATAGCAGCAAAAACACTGAATGTCTGGAACTTCCAAATTATGAAATTAATTTTTTCACGATTGTCTGGTTGTCCTCTGAACTAATGGACTTGGTCCATTGATGTAGAAGACAACAGGATACTGAGAATACAAATATTGTAACCTGTAATACTGCCATTACAGTACTGTACTGTATAGTAATTTTAGAGTGCTGTATGTAATTTACAGTAATTTTACCTTTTTGTGGTGCAGAGATGAATTGTAAACTACTGTGATTGATAGTGGTGACTCTGGGGGAGATGAGATATAAACTGCCATGATTGAGAGTGGTAACTGGGGAGATGAGGGGTAAACTGCCATGATTGATAGTGGTGACTGGAGAGATAAGACATAAACTGCCATGATTGATAGTGGTGACTCTAGGGAGATGAGGTGTAAACTGCCATGATTGATGGTGGTGATTGGAGAGCTGAAGTGTAAACTGCTGTGATTGGTAATGGTGACTTAGAATAACTTTTATTCTAAGGCAGAGGAGGTGTAAAGCTCTACTAGCATCATAGCTTCTACTGATATCAAACACTGTTTCTTAACACCAGACTTCTCACACCTTTAGCCACTGACATGCCAGCTCAGCCATCTTTATTAGTTCAAGTTTCTGCTGAACACTTAGAACCACACATTTCCTCTTGGCACCACCACTTGCTTTAAAAGCCATCGTTAGTTGCACTTTACACAAAATGCTCCAAATCCATGGAATATCAGAGACTGAATGACAGGTGTATACATGAGCACAGACAGTAAACTCACACAGGTGGTCTATGACTTGGGTTACAATGAAAACAGACAGGTTGTGGATGTGGCATTCTGGCCTGCACCAGACAAACATCAGAGTCATCAGACTTAGTCTGGAATTCTGAACTTTTGTCAGTTGTGTCCTTTGCTTCCAATATTTGTCTAGACAATTTTTTGTCTGAAATTGCTGAAATCATTATTGAGAAATCCTTTAATGAGAGGTTTTAATATGAAATATTTTGTGGAAGTGGGAAGTGCAGGGCTTGGGACAAAACTCATTCAAATTCAAATTTTTATTTCTTTTTGTAGTACAAAAATGTAGTTTACATTTAATAAAAGATTGTTAGACATAAAAGAAAGTCACTAGTATGCAATGCATTTTGAACAAACTAATCCTAATACTTAAAAACTACTTAAGAATTAGACATAGACTGTTCAGTATGATTTTTTATTCAGTTACCTGGAGAGGGTTTCGGGGGTCAGCGCCCCTGCGGCTCGGTCTGAGACCAGGCCTTGTGTTGGATCAGGGTCTGATCAACCCGACTGTTACTGCTGGCCGCATGCAAACTGATGTACGAACCACAGCCCAGCTGGTCAGGTACTGACTTTAGGTGCCTGTCCAGTGCCTTCTTAAAGACAGCCAAGGGTCTATTGGTAATCCCCCTTATGTATGCTGGGAGGCCCTGACACTTTTCATTGGGGGAATGTTGCATCTCCTGCCGAGTCTTTTGCTTTCATAGGGAGTGATTTTCATGTGTAAGTTTGGTACTAATCCCTCTAGGATTTTCCAAGTATATATTATCGTGTATCTCTCTTGCTTACGTTCCAGGGAATACAAATCAAGAGACTTCAACCATTCCCAGTAATTTAGGTGCCTTATCGTACTTATGTGTGCCATGAAAGTTCTTTGTACACTCTCCAGGTCGGCAATTTTGCCTGCCTTGAAAGGGGCAGTTAGTGTATAGCAGTATTCCGGCCTAGAGAGAACAAGCGATATGAAGAGAATCATCATGGGCTTGGTGTCCCTAGTTTTGAAGGTTCTTATTATCCATCCTATCATTTTCCTAGCAGTTGCGGTAGATACATTATTGTAGTCTTTGAAGGCAAGATCCTCTGACATTATCACTCCCAGGTCCTTCACATTACTTTCTTCCTCTATTGTATGGTTAGAATTTGTTGTATACCCCCATTATAGTTTTAATTTTCTCAAGTTTTCCATATCTGAGTAGTTGAATTTTCTCTTCATTGAACTTCATATTGTTTTGAGTGGCCCATTTGAAAATTTGGTTGATGTCAGCTTGGAGGCTTGCGGTGTCTTCGATGGAGGACACTGTCATGGCAATTTGAGTGTCATCTGCAAAGGATGACATGGAGCTATGGCTTACATAGGGAGCAAGTACTGTGCCTTGTGGAACAGAGCTTTTCACCGTAGCTGCCTCGGACTTTACTCTGTTTACTCTTATTCTTGTGTTTTATTTATCAGGAAGTTATAGGAGCTATGGCTTACATAGGGAGCAAGTACTGTGCTTTGTGGAACAGAGCTTTTCACCGTAGCTGCCTCGGATTTTACTCTGTTTACTCTTATTCTTGTGTTCTATTTATCAGGAAGTTATAGATCCATCTACCAACTTTTCCTGTATTCCTTTATCATGCATTTTGTGCACTATTACACCGTGGTCACACTTGTCGAAGGCTTTTGCAAAGTCTGTGTATACTACATCTGCATTTTGTTTATCCTCTGTAGCATCCAGGACCTTGTCATAGTGGTCCAGTAGCTGGGACAGGCAGGAGCGACCTGCTCTAAACCCGTGTTGCCCTGGGTTGTGTAATTGATGGGTATCTAGGTGGTTGGCAATCTTGCTTCTTAGAACCCTTTCAAAAATTTTTATGATATGGGATGTCAGTGCTATCAGTCTGTAGTTCTTTGCAATTGCTTTACTGCCACCTTTGTAGAGTGGGGTTATGTCTGTTGTTTTTAATGAGTGTGGGATGACCCCTGTGTCTATGCTCCCTCTTCATAGAATTCTGAAGGCACGTGACAGGCACTTCTTGCAGTTCTTGATGAACATGGAGTTCCATGAGTCTGGGCCTGGGGCAGAGTGCATGGGCATGTCATTTATTGCCTTTTCAAAGCCTTGTGGTGTTAGGATAATATCAGAGACTTTTGAGATGACCAAATTTTGGGTTTTGTTCATAAAGAATTCAATTGGATTGTTGACCCTTAGTCTGGGTAACAGCTTAATGAACACTGAGTCGTATTGGGACTGTAGTATCTCGCTCATTTCTTTGCTGTCATTTGTATATGTCCCATCCCGCCTAAGCAGGGGCCCAATGCTGGATGTTGTTTTTCCCTTAGATTTGGCATAAGAGAAGAAGTATTGTTTTTTTTCAATTTCCTTTATGGCTTTTAGCTCTTCCTGCAGTTCTTGTCTCCTGTAAGATTCCTTTAGCTTAAATTCGCTATTTACTATTTCACTGACCAGTGCCTCCCTTCGTATTTCAGATACATTGGCCCCTCTCATCAGATCTGTGATTCTTCGCCTTCGTCTGTATAGGGAGCATCTCTCTCTCTTTCTAGTTTGCATCTTCTCTTTCTTTTTCTTAATGGAATGTGCCTTGAGTAGATCTCAAGAACCACAGTTTATTTTTTCTAGGCAAAGGTTCGGATCCATGTTGTTTAGGATATCTTCCCAGCTTGTTTCATTTAGGACATGGTTGACCTGTTCCCATTGTGTGCTTTTGTTACTGAAGTTGAATTTTGTGAAGACACCCTCATGACTGATCACATTTACTGGTCAGGAGCCTTGTGCATACATGTCTGTACCTCTATTATGCTGTGAACCAACTGTATTGTCTTTGAAATGGTTATATTTTATATCAGATTGTCATTGTTAGTGAAGATGAGGTCCAGCATATTTTCGAGTTTTGTAGGCTCTAATATTTGCTTGTTTAAGGTGAATTTGGTGCAGAGATTTAATAGCTCGTATGTGTGTGAATTTTCATCTGAGCTGTCTCCTGGGGTGCTCTCTGCTAAAATATTATTTGCTACACTCCTCCATTTTAGGTGTCTCAAGTTGAAATCTCCCAGTAGCAAGATGTTTGGGGCAGGAGTTGGGAGATTTTCCAGATTGTGGTCAATTTTCAAAAGCTGTTCTTGGAATTGCTGTGAAGTTCCGTATGGAGGCTTGTATACAACCACAGTGACAAGGTTTTGGTTTTCAGTCTTTACCGCCAAAACTTCAGCTACATCATTTGAGGTGTTTAGTAGTTCTGAGCAAATGAGCGACTCTGTGATGTACAAGCCAACCCCCTCCCTTGTTGCCTGTTTAGTCTGTCACATTTGAATAGGTTATAACCTGGGATCCATATTTCGTTGTCAAAAATGATCCTCTGTGTGGGTCTCTGTTGAAGCTGCAAACATTGCATTCGACTCCGTGAGCAGTCTCTTGATGTAAGGAATTTTGTTGTTTGTTGACGGCTTTAGACCCTGTATGTTTACAAAGACAAATGTCGTTTTGATGGAATTTAGGGGGTTTTATTTCCTGGCTCTAATATATGTTGTTCTGGAGTGGAAGTCAATGACTGTGCCTCTGATCCAGAAGTGTTTTCAGTTTGTGTAATATTTCTGTCATTTTTTGCCAGTCTTCCTTCCTGGCACTAAAAACCTCCTTCTCTGCAATCTTAGTACAGTAAGAAAACTGATTCAATGAACTTCAGTTCAGTAGGATTTCTAAAGGTGGGGTGTGTGTGTTGAAGCATTTGTGGAAAGAAGGAAATTTATCTATTGAGACACAATAGAGCATGTATCAACACTTATATATGGGTGTGAGGCAAACATTTTGAATGCTGCAGTAAGGAGAAGGCAAGAGGCAGTGGAGATATCATGTTCAAGAGAAAAGTGTGGCATATCATGCAGAAAATTCAGAGCTTAGAAATTGAAAAGCAGTGTGGGGTTATTAAGATATAATTCACAGCTGAGGAGGGGTTGGGCATGCAGAGAGGATGGAGAGGTATATGATGACAAAGAGGGTGTATAATCTGGGGTGGAAGGCAGTAGTGATAAGGATTGTCCCAGGGAACAGAAGAGGTAAGAGGATCTTGAGCATCTAGTAGGCTTGTGTGAATGTGTTAGATGGGGACGAATGGAGACAAATGGTTTGTCATGGATGTACTGTTGGGATTTGAATAAAGTAACTTTTATGAAAGGATTCAGGAAAACTGGTTGGTTGGATTTTGAGTTCTGGAAATGGGAAGGGCAGTGCCTCCTCCTCTTCTTGTACTACCCCCTATTTCATATATGTAAATGAATATTTTTTAAAACTTCATTTAAAAATTATATTGGGTATGAGATCAACATGTATGCCATCACATAACTTATATTTCAAACACTTCATCCAGCTCTTCAGATGCAGGTCAAGTGCTCACTCTTCATGTGAGACTCTGACCTTCACTTGGTGCCCAGAAATCAAATAATGAACTTCTCTATAATTTTTGTTGAAATTACATATTAACTACAGTTTAAATTTCAGATTGGAATGAATCAAGTAATGGTGATGCTCACCGAGAGGATGACTCTCCGGCTACAAATGGGGAAGGAGAGAGACTTACAAATGATAAACAGGCTAAACGGGCACTGGAAAATTTATCAAAAGTAAGTAAAAATGTTAAATTTTATTTAAGAAATATTATTAACCATTTATTTTCTTAGTAGCCAGTTGACAAATGAGGGAAAACTTCTTTGAAATTACTGTTTGTGAACTACTGTACAGAAGGAGAAATACATTAAATGTGTTAATCACAATGGAGTATTTTCAGTGAGTTGACAGTTCATTTATGCAGGAGTTTGACTACATTTTGGAAGAGTTGCTTTGGAATTTGTTGTTTCTAAAGCTGTCATCATTATGATGATATATTATAATATACAGAGTCCATTCATTTTTCATGTTAACATGGTTAGTACAGATTTTGTTAAGAATGTTCAATAAGTACCTGTGAAGGAGACAAAAACATTAATGGTGGAAAAAAGCTCTTGCTTCACATGGTGAGGGTCTGGGTTCGATTCTCGGCGAGGGTTGAAACATTGGGTGTGTTTCCTTACACTGGTTGTCTGTGTTCACCCATTAATATAAAATGGGTACCTGGGTGTTAGTCGGCTGGTGTGGGTCGCATCCTGGGACAAAATTGGCCTAATTTGCCTAAAATGCTTTGCATAACAAGGGGCTTTCTGTATAGTAGTATGTCATTGATGTCAGCTAGGCCTGTATACCTTGTACATGTACTTGTAGAAATAGATATTATTATTATTATTATTATTATTTGGTCTAGTTGTTAATTCTCATTTATTTCACAGACTCCCATGTGACACTGCATTAAATTTCTAGGTGATACTGTATCATTTGTTAGGGAACTTCAGGAGGATTTAGACAAACTCTACTCTTGGTCAGAAAAGTGGCAGATGCAGTTCAGTGTAGATAAATGCAAGGTTCTGAAGCTCGGGAGTGTCCATAACCCTAGCACTTATAAGTTAAATAATGTAGAACTTAGCCATACAGATTGCGAAAAGGACTTGGGGGTTATGGTAAGCAGCAACCTTAAACCAAGACAGCAATGCCTAAGTGTACGTAATAAGGCAAATAGATTACTGGGATTTATATCAAGAAGTGTAAGCAACAGAAGTCCAGAGGTCATACTGCAGCTTTATACATCATTAGTAAGGCCTCACCTAGATTATGCAGCTCAATTCTGGTCTCCATATTACAGAATGGACATAAATTCGTTAGAAAACATTCAGCGTAGGATGACTAAATTAATACATAGCATTAGAAATCTTCCTTATGAAGAAAGATTGAAGACTCTTAAGTTACATTCACTTGTTAGACGAAGAATGAGGGAGACCTGATCGAAGTGTATAAGTGGAAGATAGGTATTAATAAAGGGGATATTAACAAGGTCTTGAGGATATCTCTCCAAGAGAAAACCCGCAGTAATGGATTTAAATTAGATAAGTTTAGATTTAGAAAGGACATAGGAAAGTATTGGTTTGGAAATAGGGTAGTTGATGAGTGGAACAGTCTACCTAGTTGGGTTATTGAGGCTAGGACTTTGGGTAGTTTCAAATTTAGGTTGGATAAGTACATGAGTGGGAGGGGTTGGATTTGAGAGGGACTTGCACATCGGAGCTTGTTTCTTGGGTGGCATTGAAAATTGGGTTGGTCAAATGTTTGTTAGTGTGATGAATTGTAAAGGACCTGCCTAGTATGGGCCAACAGGCCTGCTGCAGTGTTCCTCCTTTCTTATGTTCTTTTTTTTTTTTTTTTTTTTTTTTTTTTTTCAACAAGTCGGCCGTCTCCCACCGAGGCAGGGTGACCCAAAAAAGAAAGAAAATCCCCAAAAAGAAAATACTTTCATCATCATTCAACACTTTCACCACACTCGCACATTATCACTGTTTTTGCAGAGGTGCTCAGAATACAACAGTCTAGAAGCATACACATATAAAGATACACAACATATCCCTCCAAACTGCCAATATCCCAAACCCCTCCTTTAAAGTGCAGGCATTGTACTTCCCATTTCCAGGACTCAAGTCCGACTATATGAAAATAACCGGTTTCCCTGAATCCCTTCACTAAATATTACCCTGCTCACACTCCAACAGATCGTCAGGTCCCAAGTACCATTCGTCTCCATTCACTCCTATCTAACACGCTCACGCACGCTTGCTGGAAGTCCAAGCCCCTTACCCACAAAACCTCCTTTACCCCCTCTCTCCAACCCTTTCGAGGACGACCCCTACCCCGCCTTCCTTCCCCTATAGATTTATATGCTTTCCATGTCATTCTACTTTGATCCATTCTCTCTAAATGACCAAACCACCTCAACAACCCCTCTTCTGCCCTCTGACTAATACTTTTATTAACTCCACACCTTCTCCTAATTTCCACACTCCGAATTTTCTGCATAATATTTACACCACACATTGCCCTTAAACAGGACATCTCCACTGCCTCCAACCGTCTCCTCGCTGCTGCATTTACCACCCAAGCTTCACACCCATATAAGAGTGTTGGTACTACTATACTTTCATACATTCCCTTCTTTGCCTCCATAGATAACGTTTTTTGACTCCACATATACCTCAACGCACCACTCACCTTTTTTCCCTCATCAATTCTATGATTAACCTCATCCTTCATAAATCCATCCGCCGACACGTCAACCCCCAAGTATCTGAAAACATTCACTTCTTCCATACTCCTCCTCCCCAATTTGATATCCAATTTTTTTTATCTAAATCATTTGACACCCTCATCACCTTACTCTTTTCTATGTTCACTTTCAACTTTCTACCTTTACACACATTCCCAAACTCATCCACTAACCTTTGCAATTTTTTCTTTAGAATCTCCCATAAGCACAGTATCATCAGCAAAAAGTAACTGTGTCAATTCCCATTTTGAATTTGATTCCCCATAATTTAACCCCACCCCTCTCCCAAACACCCTAGCATTTACTTCCTTAACAACCCCATCTATAAATATATTAAACAACCATGGTGACATTACACATCCCGGGTCTAAGACCTACTTTTACCGGGAAATAGTCTCCCTCTCTTCTACACACCCTAACCTGAGCCTCACTATCTTCATAAAAACTCTTTACAGCATTTAATAACTTACCACCTATTCCATATACTTGCAACATCTGCCACATTGCTCCTCTATCCACTCTATCATATGCCTTTTCTAAATCCATAAATGCAATAAAAACTTCCCTACCTTTATCTAAATACTGTTCACATATATGCTTCAATGTAAACACTTGATCTACACATCCCCTACCCACTCTGAAACCTCCTTGCTCATCCGCAATCCTACATTCTGTCTTACCTCTAATTCTTTCAATTATAACCCTACCGTACACTTTTCCTGGTATACTCAGTAAGCTTATTCCTCTATAATTTTTACAGTCTCTTTTGTCCCCTTTCCCTTTATATAAAGGGACTATACATGCTCTCCGCCAATCCCTAGGTACCTTCCCCTCTTTCATACATTTATTGAACAAAAGTACCAACCACTCCAACACTATATCCCCCCCTGCTTTTAACATTTCTGTTCTTATGTTCTTATATTAAATTTTCGCATCATTGATAAAAGGTTTCTCATAAATTGTCTTTTATCAAGTCACAACTACTGCAATCATAATGGTGTACAGAGGGTTGTTTGTGTGCTTCATGATTCCATTATGGAGGATCAAGCCTTTACCACTTCTTCTCCTGAATAACTCACACAGATTTAGTGCTTCAAGTATAGTACTATGTGAGATCTATTATTACAATTATAAATATACTTTTCAGGTGAAAACTGTACATATTGCAGTTACTTTTCAAGTGAAAGTTGTACAAAGTTTGCATGCTTTTTCAAGTGAAAGTTGTATATAGTGTGCATACTTTTTTATGTGAAAGTTGCAGTAATTTGGGTACAATTTGTTATTATTTTTCAGTTACACGGTTCAGAAAATGGAGATTGCGATGACAATGAGAGCAACAGTACATATGAACTTGATGGTCCATTGCTGGCGGACAGCTTAGTACCATTCAACTTAACTGCCCCATCTCCTATGCCTGCCTACCTCAATGTACATTACATCTGTGAGTCCGCATCAAGATTGCTGTTCCTATCTGTCCACTGGGCTCGCAATATCCCCACCTTTCAGTGCCTCAGGTGAGAATGTCAGTTTTATACATTTTTACTATGAAAAGTTATTGAAGGTTTAGCTGTGTAATGTCTAAATCAGTGCAATACACAGAAACTCCTTGGCAGGTCTATACCGTAATAAAGATGGACATTGATAAAAGAAAAAGGAAGGTGGGCAAACTGTTTAATTAGGTAGTTTGCAGGAAGGTTCATGAGAATTCAAGTACAAAATTCAGGAATAAGTACAGGCAGACCCTGCTTTACAGCTCTTCACTTTATGGTATTTTGCTAATGCAGCAGTTTTCAATTATATCCATACTTCACATATTCAAATTTCCTACAATACTCACCACTCACTCTAAGCTAAGGACAAAAATATTTTAAGGTATGTAGATCTATTGCTCTAGGTAGTAAGTTGGTAGACAGCAACTGCCCAGGGAGGTGCTACCATCCTGCCAAGTGAGTGTACAACAGAAGCCTGTAATTGTTTTACACGATGGTAGGATTGCTAGTGCTTTTTTTCTGTCTCATAAACATGCAAGATTTTAGGTACATCTCTCTGCTTCTACTTACACTTAGATCACACTACACATATATGTATAGTAGGGGCCCCACTTTATGGCATTTCGCCTTACAGTGTTCTGCTAATACAGTAGGGCCCCACTTATATACGGCAGCTTAGGTTCCAGGTTACCGCCGTAAAGTGGAAATCGCCATAAAGTGGAACAACTTTTTTTTCCACTTATAAATGCATATAAATATTAGGTAACAAGTTTATACTAACATAGAACTAAGTATTAAAAAACAATAAAAAAGTAAAATACACATATAGTACACTCATTACTTACCTTAAAATATTTGTAGTCTTAATCTAGGGTGAGATGAGTAGTACAGGTACCATCCGACTTATGACCGAGCTTGGTTCCGACCAACCGGTCGTATGTCAAAATGGACGTAAGTCAAACCTTACTACTGAATATCGACATAACATTTTTGTAGTGACTTTATTTTATTGTTTTATTTTGGTATTTCATTTTTTACTTTACTTTTTATGCTGTTAGTACTGTATTTATTTTATACTGTAAGGTTTAGGATAAACACTGTACAACACAAACAGTTGTTTATTTCCCAGAAATTTGGCATACAAAGCACGGTTGTAAGTCAAGAGGGCGTATGTCGAGAAGGTGTAAGTCGGATGGTAGGTGTATTTATTGTAAGAAATCAAGTGTGGTATGTATGGTAGCCAGCCTGGCTACCATACCAGGCCAACCCACCCACACATAATATTCTATGACATTTAAGTGTCCCAGAGCAATAAAATGAATATACAGTTCACTCATTACTTACCTTAAAATATTTGTAGTCCTAATGTAGGGTCAGAGGTGAGTAAATGAGATAAAACGAATAAATGAGAGAGAGAGAGAGAGAGGAGAGAGAGAGAAAATGAGTACAAGAGAGAGGGCACTTGCGGAGTTATGTAAACAAACCAGGCAAACGTGAGTTTTGTCAACAAGCCAGGCAAACACGTCTGGTTTGTGTACTACAAGTTACACTGTGTACACGTTGTCTCTACATTTATGGTAGAATAAATAAAGAGAAACACTCCCATTCTCATGTAACACCATTTTTAGAAGAAATGACGCTCTGAGTGATGGCGTATGAAAGGAATAATTTTCTACAGTTACGCCTAGTAACACATTTTCTCTTATGTTGGACTAGAGAAAATGTTATTCTTGCCATCACTTATACAAGCTGTCTGGCTACCACATCTCATATTTATGTTTGTTTATTCTATTGTGGGGTGTATTTATCATCTTTATATGTTATGTATTGTGTTTATTATATAATTTTGAAAAAAAATCGTAGATGGATTAATAAAAATGTGTATATTAACATAATATATGACATTTAACCCTTTGGCCTAGATATGACAGAATACATCTATGTGGTATGTGTGCACCACATAAAACAAATCCTGCAGCACAGTGCATAATGAGAGAAAAAAAATGAGACCGTAATTTTCGATTAAAAAAGCAACTTTTCAGTGTTTTTTCGTATGTTTTTTATAGGTGTATTTGAGATTTCTTGGTCTCATTTGATAGAATGGAAGATATATTACAGAAATAGAGATGATTTTGATTGGTTTTAGTACTGGAAATGGCTTGAAACTGAGCTCAAAGTAATGGAAATGAACAAGAACTAATGAACATGTAACTAATGAACATGTAACTAATGCCAGGAATGCCTGCATTGTTTATTCTGGACCCTATTTTGAAATTGGAGTATTTTCAACTTTGCATTAAATTGGACAAATTATCAGTTTCCGATCACTTTATTTTGTAGTTGAAACAGTTGACTTGGCAAATTCTAGTGCTCAATTGATAGAATAGAAGTAATACATGTACTAGTGAAATAGCTAAGAATTTGGTCGACTGGAATAATATAATTGGCCTAAAATGGTTATCAAAGTCTGCAAAATCACTGATGCGTAAATATTACCTGGAGGTTATTCCGGGGATCAACGCCCCCGTGGCCCGGTCCATGACCAGGCCTCCCGATGGATCAGGGCCTGATCAACTAGGCTGTTACTGCTGGCCGCACGCAGTCCAACGTACGAGCCACAGCCCGGCTGATCCGGCACTGACTTTAGGTATCTGTCCAGCTCTCTCTTGAAGGCAGGCAGGAGTTTACTGGCAATTCCCCTAATGCTTGATGGGAGGCTGTTGAACAGTCTTGGGCCCCGGACACTTACGGTGTTTTCCCTTAGTGTACCAATGGCGCCCCTACTTTTTATTGGGGGCATTTTGCATTGCCTGCCCAGTCTTTTACTTTCGTAGGGAGTGATTTCTGTGTGCAGATTTGGGACCATTCCTTCCAAGATTTTCCAAGTGTAGATTATGATATATCTCTCCCTCCTGCGTTCTAACGAGTACAAGTCAAGTGCTTCCAAGTGTTCCCAGTAGTTAAGGTGCTTGACAGAGCTTATACGTGCAGTAAAGGATCTCTGTACACTCTCTAGATCTGCGATTTCACCTGCTGTGAATGGAGATGTTAATGTACAGCAGTATTCCAGCCTAGAGAGAACAAGTGATTTGAAAAGGATCGTCATTGGCTTGGCATCTCTCGTTTTGAACGTTCTCATTATCCATCCTATCATTATCTTTGCACGTGCGATCGTGGCACTGTTGTGATCCTTGAAAGTGAGATCCTCAGACATTACTACTCCCAGGTCCCTTACATTATTTTTCCGCTCTATTGTATGGCCAGAGTCTGTAGTATACTCTGTTCTAGTTATTATCTCCTCCAGTTTTCCATAACAGAGTAGTTGGAATTTGTCCTCATTGAACATCATATTGTTTACCGTTGCCCACTGGAAAACTTTGTTTATATCTTCTTGGAGGTTAACCACGTCCTCAGCAGATGACAGCCTCATGCAGATCATCCGCAAAGGATGATACGGTGCTGTGATGTATATCTCTGTCTATGTCTGATATGAGGATAAGGAATAAGATGGGGACGAGTACTGTGCCTTGTGGAACAGAGCTCTTCACTATGGCAGCCTCTGATTTAACTCTGTTGACCACTACTCTTTGTGTTCAAAATTTGCACGAGCATAATTTCTTCAATTTTCCATCAAATTTCATGCTTTTTGTTTTATTACCTTCAGAAAGATTCTCTACCATTTCATAAGAAAAAATAACAAAATTATTTTTGAAAATTCTTGGACACTGGTGCACACTTTGAAATTTGGCCTCTGGACCCTGAAAGGGTTAATGAGACTAGGTGATTATTATTATTATTATTATTACTGATATGACGTCACTCGTACAAGTAGTCTGGCTACCACATCTCATATTTATGTTTATTTATTCTACACTGGGGTGTATTTATCATCTTTATATGTTATGTATTGTGTTTATTATATAATTTTGAAAAAATATAATAGATGGATTAATGAAAATGTGCATATTAACGTAATATACGACATTTAATGAGACTCAGTGATTATTGAGTATTATTATCGTGTGTACCTGCATGCCAGCACAGTGTGTAAGTTTATTTAGGTACAGGTATACATCAATATAATTATCAGAGTACGTATATATAAAATATGAAATAACTTTTAAAAACACTTGAAATTTTGGGGTTTCCAGACATAATGGAAAGATGTAGTGCTTACGGAGCTCACAGAGAATGTAAACAAACTGGGTGGGGCACGGTGACTGTATTAGAAAGTTAGGTGAGGGGAGATGTATAGAGTGTTTAGGTCATAATTTGAAATGACCGTATTAGCGGAATGCCATAAAGCGAAATGCCGTAAAGCTGTGCCCTACTGTACGACGATTTCAAATTATGACCAAAACTTGCTATATGGTGAGCGGTCTTTCAAATACGGTGCACCCCACTTGGTTTGTTTACATTCTCCGTGAGCACATCTCTCTATTATGTCTGGAAACTTTCCAGAATTTTAAGTGTTTTAAAGTTATTGCATATTTTATATGTACTCTGATAATTATACTTATGTGTACCTGTACCTAAATACAGTGGGCCCTCGACCAACGATATTGATCCATTCCAGAGAGCTTGTCCTTAGCCGAATTAATTTTCCCCATAAGAAATAATAGAAATAGAATTAATCTGTTCCAGACACCCAAAAGTATGAAAAAAAAAAATTCACATGAAATATATGTTTTCCTACACAGAAAAACAAGGATACATGCACAATAAATACTGTACTAAATGAAGAATAAATGACACTTACTTTTATTGAAGATGTAGTGATGAATGATGAGATGGGAGGAGGGGAGATGGAGGTGTAGTATTGTTTGGAAGGGGAATAAGGACTTTAGGTACCAATTCCTTTTCTGAGGTTACTTCCCTTCTTTTTTAATGCCACTGGGAACAACTTGAGAGTCACTGGACCTCTGTCGCACCAATCTGTCCATAGAGCTCTGTACCTCGTGTTCCTTTAAGATTTTCCTAAAATGGGCCACAACATTGTCATTGTAAAAGTCACCAGCATGGCT